CCCACAGAATATTCTTGTGAACCAATGATATGTTAACCGTGACATTTCAGTATGCTAAAGAGAGGCGGAATAGCTCAATTCCAGTTAACAAAAACTTTCTTTTGTCTGGATCCTTCAAGGACTTTCTTATTCTTGGAGACATATGAAGTACCAGATTATCCTGTATGAAATGGAATTCTTATTATAACAAGTGAAAAGACATGCATCTTTCCAAGACGAGCAACAGACTGTGCTATTCTGAAAGTTCTGCTCTGAACTTTTTAACATGTGGAGGAAAGAGGATTGTGGGGAATGAAAAGTGGAGAAAAAAGTATACAATCTTTAGTGGTCTGGAGCAATTCTTAAAATTATTTGGGAAATGGAGATAGGCAATGTCAAGTAGCAGAGGCATCCTTCCCCTTTTACTTTGTAATGCTTCTGCTTAGAAGACGTACTAACCCATACCCATTCTGGAGCCACTTCTCATGTGTGCATGCACACATGCAATTCCTCAGTGAAGGGATGCTATGTCACAAGATAATGTAATTCCAGGACCATTACAGGTGGGAAAAGTGACAGAAAGCATTGAGAGAGAGAGAGAGAGAGAGAGAGAGAGAGAGAGAGAGAGAGACAGACAGACAGACAGAGAGAAACTCTACTAACACATTTAATACAAGAGCCCCAGCCCCTCTCCAAATGTTTAAGAATTTCTCCAACTCACCCATGAAAAATGTCAAAAGTCCCTTCCTATTTTCACAGTCAAAGAAGGGGGCAACTAACGCAGGGAGGCACTCTTGGACCATCATTAAAAAAAACCCCAAACAAAACAATATTAGCATCTCCTAGAAAAACAGAGATGATCATCAAAGGACCCTTCAAATGGCTGTAGTCAATATGCAGAATCTTAGGGCTAAAGGCAAACTCTAGCCTCCAGAGGTCCACACAAGGTCACATCCCTTCTCCTGGCCTCACTTCTTCCCAACCACCATTTCTTTGTTGATTAAGAGCTATAGTTAATATGCTGTATTGTTTGTATTTTGGCCTCACCCCTTTCACTTCTGGTCCTGCCTTTTTTGGCTTTGGAACTGGAATGTGGCTCCTAAGATCATGGAATTCAGCCACTGGGATGAAAGAGGTTCCATACAAGATTAAAAGAGGTGAGCAGAGGAGGACAGGCTAGTAAAATTGTGCCTGTTATAGAAAAGCAGCTAGAATAAAGTTTGAATTACTAGAACTCAGGGTATTGCATCTTAACCATGGGTATCCAGGTTCAGTTACAAACAACAGAGGAAGAGACTGTTGTGGAAATCCCAAAGGCGTCTGGTTAGGATCAGCCTTTAAAGCAACCTGAGCAATCTTGATCTTAAGAAACCCCTGCTCATTTTGATCTTCTCGTGCAGCATCTCTTCAGTGAACTAGATGCCTTTGGAAATCCCACAAGCAAGGCATGAGAGCAGTTTCAGTTTAATGGAAGTCCACTGTGCATCTGGTGAACAACAGCCTCAATTAAGTAAGCATCATAAGCCAGGAACCCAGGGAAAGCCCACATTCTGTGAGGATTTTTCGCTGAAAGCCTTGATTTGCCAGGTCAAGTACTACCACTTTGTGTTCTGTGATGACTACTTACCATGCTATCATGTCATTACTGACTTAAGTTCCCATTCAAAAAGGGGGTCATTTAAAACCACTTTAGCACTTGTTTACAATTTCTGAATATTCTGAACAAAACACAAACAACAATGTGCCCTTCCCAGACAACCACTACCAAAAGTACATTATAGCTTATAATACTAACTACTGCTGTCCTATTGCAGGTCTCCAAATAGTTCACAATGTGTATACTGAAGATCCATGACCTGATATTATAATTTTAACTTTCATTTTCATTCTGTGTGAAGCAGATTTGCAGAGAAAAGAGAACTTGTAGTAAAAGTTTTTATTTTTACTGGTTTCTATTATTATAACAAGCCAGTGATTTTCAAGACTCTGCTGAAGTTTCATAACAGACAAGTTACACTTGTAATGTTCTGCACCCTATATGAACAACACTGGGTCACAGAAGAAGGGCTGAAAGTTGGAAGACTGAGGTCCATTAGTGGACATTTTTCTGCCTGCTGAAACTCTTGGCTTGCATTCCTACTACTTTCTTCAAAGCATGCGCAGTCCATCTGTCACCTTCCAATGTGGCCCCCATCTCCACCTGCCACAACCATACCTCCCCAGCTACCACTGCTTCAACATTTGCTTCTTCAAGAAAAGTGGCTGGTGGCAGGTCTCTCCCAAGCACCCACTCCATGCCTTGCTGCTTGCTCCAATACAAGTAACTATGAGCAAAACATTTCCAAAGAGTGCCTGCACCACTATTGCTTTACCATGATGGCAGAAAAGTGGTACCTTGGACTTGGAAGTTATTTGAAATCTTAATACTACTTTAAATTATATTTGCAACAGCTGCTGCAAAAGCTTCAGCACAGCCAGCTCACTCCCAGTGCCTCACCCCAACATTAAGAGCAAGATTAAAGCAATGTTAACCTAATTTTAGGAAGGCAAGTGTATGCAGGGAAGAGGTTGCATCATCAGCAATGGGCTACCCAGCTCAGCTGGAGCAACATCCTGTGCCATCCCTACAAGTTTTTGAAAGAATACTCATGAGCTGGCTAGTGCCCCCCCCCCTTTTTCTCACTCTAAAATTCCCTCCTCTTGGAATACTTTGAAACAAGCAGCAGTAGGGCTCAATAATGTATCATCCTTCTGCCCCGGGCCTTCAGATATAAGAAGGCCTTTGGTTTTTTAGAGGCCAGATTTCAGTGCTTGTGCCTCTCCTAATTATCTGTGATGCTCCTGGTTTCTTGTTTGTTTTCGTTGCTGTTTTTTTCCTGCGCAACTTTCTGGCTTAAGTATTTTTATATTCAACTTCTTACTACAGTTTTAAAAATATCTTGTTGTTGAATCTAAAACTGTTTATCTTTTTGTATATTGCTGTTCGTTGCGCTTCATTATTTTTGAACTATATGAGCAAAAGCTACATATAAATACTGGAAATAAATGCATTTATTTCCATCTAAAATGTGGTTAGCACCAAATATGCACTCCAGCTTTGAAAATTTTATCACACATAAGGGGAACATTTGTTAAAATAAACAAAAACACAAAACAGATGCCATCCTATCAGTGGCTTAGCACACAGACCTTGCTCTCCAGAAGAAAAGACAAGTACATGCTTCATCTGTCATGTTGACTCCCAGCTTCATGACCAACATGTATATCATGGCTTATCCTAGGTGAGCCAGAACTTTGGCTTCCTATGGGATTTACCAGAACGTCCAACAGGGCACCACGCCTCCAAGTATTGTTCGGTACTTTCCTGGCTTTTGTGCAGTCCTCCCTCTCATTCTAAAATGCTGAATTGCCTCTCCTGAGGCTTAGCTACTGGCAGTAAGAGCTTCAGGCTAAAATATGAGGGGTGGGGGCAGGTATTCTGGGCCTTGCACCCTTTGCCTTCAGCCCCACCCACAAATGGAATGCAACTCCATAAGATCTTCTAAAATGCTTGTACTAGACATATGATCAGGGGGAAATAACACTCTAAATTACAAGGAACTAGAAGGAAGCTTGTTCAGGCTGATTCCAGAGTAGTATCTAAATTAGTTTTCCCATTTTCTATAGTTGTAACTTGATGTAGACCCTTCCACAGCTTAAAATGCATGTTCTAGCTTCAAAATGACTATTTCTTTCCTGCAGACAAACATGCTTACCAGTGACAAATTATGTTTCTTGCACCCAGTTCCAAGCATTGTCCTGAGGAAAACTGTGACTCTCAACAAATCACAAGCCACCCATTCAGGGTAGTGGGGAGTCCTCAGAAGCCCTTTTTATCAACCCCTACCCTGAGGAAATATCTCTCCCATCATCCTCAGGTCCCAGGGGTTACATCCTTGTAACCTCTCACAAGTGGAGTATGCAGCTGCTGATTCATCCATGGGTCATTTAAAGATTGTGGATAGTTCTTCCAAGGGGGAGGTCACAATTGAAAATAAGGTCCTGCCTGCCTTCCTGAGATGACTCCATTCTACAGGTTAGCCAGCAGAGTACATTGGGAGCTATCCTGGTGCTGATCACCCCTCACTGGTACTTACCAAGCTTAAGCCAGTGTGAACTGATTGACTTGACCTGTCATACCCTGTTGCAGCTCAACCTGACTGAACTTGACCTGATCTACTTAACTGAACCTGTGCCACTTTGTCACTACCTTACAGATTTCAGCTTATTTCACTGGCTCTGGTTTCCTGGCATTTGTGTAGTTCCTCCCCATTCTATAATGTTAAAATGCCTTTCCAAAAGCGTAGTTATGAGTAACACTTTTAAGCTAAAATACCCACCGGTGGAATGATATTTCTGAAAGAATTTCTAAAATGCTATCCAACTCTAGGGTGGGATGAAATTCTAAACTGCTGCCAAAAAGCCTCCCGAGTTGCAGTGACTGGGAATGAACATTGAAAAAAACACAGACAGGAAAAACAGACGCCAGCTGAGTTGTCTCCTAACACTGAACTATGGGAAGGATGTTCCCCTTCATATTTTTGAATGTTTATGCCAATTTGCTGAACCAAACTTATATAAAGTGTACTGGAGAATGATATGAAAAGGGCAGTTCATTTGAAGGTCAAGAGCAAATTCAAGTGGAGAAAGTCTTCGTGATCAACCATTTCGCTGCTGATAGCCATGCATGATTCTCTAGGTCTTCTCCTCCAAAAAAAATGCCCTCCATGCCTGGATCACACACAGTCCCAGCAAACATATTACTCTACTGTTTATAGGACATATATTCTGAAAGAGGGCTAACATGCCCCATTCCCATGCATAGGAGATAACACAGCCCAAAGAACACAACTCAGCACAATGGAAAGGTAAAATGCCAGGTGCAAGAGCTCATGGTCTTTAAATCTTAGTTTTAAAAAAGCAATACTATTTAAAGTGATATACTACTTAAAGTAAAATACACTGTACTCAGTAGGACTCACCTCTGCACGAAAGGCCTTGCGGGTCAATGCCTTGTTTGCAGATGTTACAAGTTTTGGGTTTCTTAAAGTTCTTACTCTTGAATGTATGAGAATTTGAAGCTACCCCTTCTGGCTGGAAGAGAAAAAGGAAGAACCTTAAATGAATATTTCTTTTAAAAACCTCAAAAAAACCTGTAACAATAATATTGCATAGAAAAAATGAACTATTTTAAAACTTAGTACTTGTATATCATCTTTAAAGACAGTCTTGCAAGTTAGTCTGTTCTTCTGCACAGTATGTGCAGCATCTTATATACCAGAAATGGAGAATTCAGGCCTGCTTTCTCCAATCAGCAGCTCAAGCTAAGAGATTTTCCCAGACCCCTACTATTCCTCTATCCCTTAGCTACTACACCCCTTATAGGTGTTTAAAAAGCATTCACTGCTGCAAAGGGAGGCATTCTAAAAACCTTAACTGCAGACAGCAGGTATTTGAGGGAGATGCAGCTGAGGAGGGAAGAGCTAGCCCTCCCTTTGCCAATCCTGCAAATCCATTAAAAATACAGGCGCGCGCGCACACACACACACACACACACACACACACACACAGAGTCAGTCAGTCAGTCATCTTAAAGGTCTCCACTGATGACACTGGCAACTTTCTCAGAGCTTGATTGCATGTTTGGGGGTGGGGGATTCTGGCTACGAGCTTCTTTTGTGGGCTTATTTATGCGTGTGGGAATGGGCTGAACACTCTGAGTGTCACTTGCCAGTGATGGGGTACTCCTACCCATTCTTAGTATGTGACCCACAATGAGCTTGCCTGGAGGAACAACATGATAGCCATTGATGGAGTGTGTTTATAAAAAAGTTTCCTACAAATAGAAAGCTAGCACTTCAGAGAGGAAGAATGACTAGACATTCAAATTCCTACAAGCAAAAAATTCTTTCTATGGAGAAATCTTTCAATGAGACCCCCATGAGCAGTACGAAGTAGCACAACCCAGACACAGATTTTACACCTTGGTGAGAACTATGTCATAACCTCCACAATTTAAAATTAAAGTGTCCTTGTTACCATTTAAGTCCCTATCCCACCATCTATTATTGCACAATATAAATCTATGGCTTTTAGTCATCATGGCCAAATTCTGCCTTGAGTACTAGAGAAGGTATGTCCCTCAATGCCAGTTGCTGGAGAACACGAGCAGAGAGAGGAAGGGGCAGCAGAGAGGAAGGGCGTCGTACCTTGTCTGCAGCCCAGACTGCCCGGGGACTCCCTTCCCTGGGAGGCCAAGGGTTTTGTTTTTTGTTCTATTGCATTGTTTTTCTTTCTTTCTTTCTTTCTTTCTTTGTTGTTGTTGTTATTGTTTTGGTGCTGTGCTGTGCTTTGCTTTTCCTCCAATTTAAATTTTATTTTACCCGTATGTGTGTGTGTGTGTGGGGGGGGGGTTGTCCGGGAGAACTGGGCGAGTGAGAGGAACTGCAGGAAAGACAAGGCAGGGGACCAAGGTAAGGTCTCAGAAGGGTTCCCAATGGCAGACCAGGAGAAGGCCTTGGCGGGAGTCACGGGTGTTGCTGCCCATTGTGACAGCTGCGACATGTTCACCTTTCTCCCCCAGGAGAGGCAGGGATGCACTTGCCCTCAGTGTAAGCTGATGACCCTGCTGAAGGAGGAGTTGAGGTGCCTGAGGGCTGAGAGAGCTCTCCAGGCCCCCTGGAAGCAGGCCCCCTCTGGACAGAGGGTTGAGGGAGAGGCACGGGAGGAGCAGCCAGGGAGACATGGAGGCGTGTCACCCATAGGAGGAGGAGGCCAGCACGGCCTCCTCCTTCTCCTGGCACCAATCTGGAGCTGGGAAACAGATTCTCTCCACTTGGGGAGGCTGGGGCTGATGAGGCCTTGGGGGACTAGCAGGACCCCCAGCCTGGGACCACAGGTGGCAAGGGGGCCGCTGCAGGACAGGCCACGGCCACCCACCACCACCAGGAAGACACGGCAGTGGGTGATTGTTGTCGGGGACTCCCTGCTGAGGGGCACTGAGGTGGCGGTGTGCCGCCCCAACCTGGAGACAAGAAGGTTTGCTGTCTGCAAGACACACGCATCTGGCATGTGAAGGACAGAGTGGAGCTTCTTGTTCGCTCCGGGGGTCACCAGCCGCTCCTGGTGATCCATGTGGGCACAAAGGATGTGGCCAGGCAGGGTGTGGTCAGGATCACCAGGGACTTCGAGGCCTTGGGCAAGAAACTCAGGGACCTCAAGGCCCAAGTGGCCTTCACATCGATCTTACCAGTCGAGGGATTTGGACCAGGAAGGGACAGGAGGGCCTCCGAGGTGAACAAATGGCGTAGGGTGTGGTGCCAGAAGGAACGCTTCGGGTTCCTCGACCATGGCACTCGGTTTCTTGCCAATGGACTTCTGGCAAGGGATGGGTTAAACCTCACGAGAATAGGGAAAAGGTCCTTTGGAGGTACTCTAGCGAGCTTCGTCCAGAAGACTTTAAACTAAGCCAGGAGGGGGTGGGTTCAGGCCCCCCAGAAAAGTGTCTACACAGGACAAGTGTGGGGAGAGGATCAGGGTTCTGGGAGCAGGGTTTCAGAGGTACTGCAGGGACTGACAAGACTCCTACAGAGAGGGGCCAGGTATCAGGGAGGATGGGAGGAAGGAGGAGGCTGGGAACTCCAAGGAAAGGAAGTGGTGGGAAGGAGTTGAGGTGCATGTACACTAATGCTAGGAGCACGGGTAATAAGCAGGAAGAGCTTGAAGCTCTCCTGGGAATAGAGGGGTATGACCTGGTGGGAATCACAGAAACTTGGTGGGATGAAAGGCAAGACTGGAATGTGAACATAGAAGGGTATCACCTTTTTAGAAAGGATAGGAAGGGAAAGAGGGGTGGGGGCATAGCTTTATACGTCAGGGAAGGGATAGGATGCAGTGAGATAGAATGCAGCCCAGATGGGGATTCGGCAGAGACAGTCTGTGTGAAACTTAGGGGTTTTGACAGGGTAGGAGACCTGACAGTGGGGGTATGTTATTGCCCTCCAGGTCAACTTAAGACCCTGGATGATGTCCTTACAGACCAGATTCTAAGGATATCTCGGGGGAGAGACACAGTAATTATGGAAGATTTCAATCTCCTGGATGTTAGTTGGAAGACTCACTCGGCGGTGACAGCCAGGTCACGTCACTTCCTAGAAGCTATAGAGGGAGGGTTTTTCACACAGAGGGTCCGAGTGGGGATGGGGGGGGGGGTAACATCCTTGACTTAGTCTTGACAAATAGAGAGGAGCTGATAGATGAAGTGCAGGTTAAGGGAGCTCTGTATGCGAGTGATCACTCCATCCGTTGCTTTAAGATCAGAGGACTGGGGAAGTGCAGCAGGTTGAGCACTAGAAGCTGGGACTTCAAGAGGGCCAGCTTTGGCCAACTGAAGGCCAGACTGGGGAAAGTCTCCTGGGATAGGTTACTGGAAGGTAAGTGAGTTGAGGAGGGTTGGCTGGCACTCAAGAGGGAGGTTTTGGAGGCGCAAGCCTTGAAGATACCTCTAGTTAGTAATGTGGGGAGGCGGAGGAGAGTGCCGCCATGGATGCGAAGGAGGTGGTTAGAGGGATTAGACACAGGAGGAACCTCCGTAGGAAATGGGTACTGGGGGAAATAGACAAAAGGGTATACCGGGAGGAGGAGGCCCACTGCAGAAGGATTCTTCGCAAGGCTAAGGCTGATTACGAGCTGAGACTTGCCAAGAATATCAAGAGCAACAAAAAGGGCTTCTTTCACCATGTAAATACCAAGATGAAGGGGAGACAAGTAGTGGGACCGTTAAATAAGGAGGAAGGGGATCCAGTGACTGATGCGAGGGAAAAGGCACAGATGCTAAATGACTATTTTGCCTCTGTGTTCTCTCCAAAGCAGGATGGGGGAGATCCACATAGGAGATTAGATGCGGCCGGGGACTTAGGGGCACAGATTAGAGTCACCCCCCACAGAAGTCAAGGGGCACCTCAGGGCATTGGACATTACAAAGATGCCAGGCCCTGATGGGTTACGCCTGAGAGTACTTAGAGAGTTGGCAGGGGCCCGCTGGCCTCCATTTTTGAGCCCTTGTGGAGAACAGGTGAAATTCGAGAGGACTGGAGGGTGGCATCAGTGGTCCCAATTTTCAAAAAGGGTAGTAGAAGGAACATGGGGAATTATAGACCAGTTAGCCTTACTTCCATTGCAGGAAAAACAATGGAAAGGCTCATAATAGAGAGAGTTCTAGTGATGCTAGATAGGGAAGGGAGGCTGACAGTCACACAACACGGCTTCCACAAAAACAGGTCCTGCAAGACAAACCTTGTGGAATTCTATGACAAGGTTTCGAGATGGCTAGATGGAGGGGATGCAGTGGATTTGGTTTACCTGGATTTCAGCAAGCCCTTTGACAAAGTGCCCCACGATATCCTGGTGGAGAAACTGAGGAGTTTTGGGATACACCAATGCACCATCTGGTGGATTAGGGGATGTTGACTGACTGAAAGCAGAGGGTAACCATTAGTGGGGAATTATCGAGATGGCGGCCAGTGACAAGTGGGGTCCCCCAGGGCTCTGTCCTGGGGCCAATCCTGTTTAATCTTTTTATTAACGACATGGAAGAAGGGGTGAACAGTGTGCTGATCAAATTCGCAGACGATACTAAAACTGGGGCGGTGGCCACAACTGAGGAGCAGGTACTGCAGATTCAAAAGGATCTGGACAGTCTATGGAAGTGGGCAGGAGACAACAGGATGGCGTTCAATGTAGATAAGTGCAAGGACTTGCACTTGGGGCATAGGAATAGGTGTCATAAGAGTAAGTACAGGTTAGGTGACAAGTGGCTGGAGAGCAGCACTTGTGAAAGGGATCTCGGGGTGCTGGTTGACTGCAGGCTAAACATGAGTCAGCAGTGTGATGCGGTGGTCAAGAGGGCGAACACCACCCTTGGTTGCATAGCCAGAAGTGTGGCTTCTAGATCAAGAGAGGTATTACTACCACTCTATACGACTCTGGTGCGCCTGCAACTGGAGTATTGTGCTCAGTTTTGGTCCCCTCATTGCAGAAAGGATATAGCCAGGTTAGAGTCAGTGCAGCATAGGGCCACAAGGTTGGTGGCCAGA